TTTAGCAAGTGGCACTTTAGCACTGGTGATCACGTCGATTCTACCAGTATTAAGACGATCTCTTTCAATGTTGCTTTTAACCCGCCAAATATGACTTTTGCTACTGTATTTAGGCCATCCACCGTCCATGAACTCATCTGACACCATAACAACATCCATGTCAGCGGTAGGCAGATAGAGCCCGGCAGGGAAAGAGCCGAAAGGTAAGATATCAGCATCAGGATAATATCTACGGAAGTTGTTCCTCAAGTCAACAAGCAACTTCTGTCTAATTACTTCTTCAAACTTGCGAGGTTTCACATGATAGTAGAAGTCCATTATCTCTTTATGCAGCCTTGAGAGTAGTATTAGCTTTGAAGTGTCTTTTGTTGGTAGATGAATCACTTACCAAAGTCCCATGTTAGAGGTATCAGAATGATCTTGAAGCCAAGGGACTTCATTTACACCAGGCCCGGCACGCCACTCTTTAAGAAGAGTTCCACTGGACTTGGGAGGTTTACCAGGAATCAGCTTAGTCACAAGTGGTGGAGGCTTGATCACATCGTTAGCGGTACGCTTTCTGCTACCTAGGGCGGGATCGGTTGATAGATCTACTGGTTTAGATGCTCGCTGGGGAGTTTGGACATCATCCATGGGCATGCTACTGACGCTAGTTGATTGGGTAATAGTATCTTGTGATTGCTGAGGCATGTCAAACTTTCGCATGTTTTCGAGGTGACTGAAAGATTTGGCTGAACTGGGTGCGGACTGCTCGAAGGGTTGAGGCTCGTAATCATCCTCTTCACTATCAATACTTGCGGGCGCATCGAGGTCAAAAGAAATGAAGTCGTCCTGAGCAGCATCAACTTTAGTAGCGCCTTCTTGACCAGTTGCGACACGAGCCTTCCTAATAAGTTTAACGACATCCTTCTTCTTTCGGTCAGATTCGCCTGGTGGTGGAAGGGCCGTGTATGGATCGGGATTTGACCATTTTGGAACACTATCACCATCTGCAGCCTTTGCACTAGTTCGTGCGATCTTCTTCTTAGGTTGATCGTCATTATCGTCATCATCCGACATGTCCATCTCAGCTTCGTCACTATCAGACAAGTCGCCAACATCTCTGTATTTAACATCAGCAGAGGCATCTTCATTCATACCTGGCATGAGTTCAGGAGTAGGCGAGCGTTTTCCTTTCAAGAAAACTCGATCTGCTGCTAATCTTGGACCGCCTCGACCGCGATAGCCGCCACGTCCTCGATTGTTGTCGCGTCGATCTTTTTCGCGACGACGACGAAGATGATCATCATTTCTGTCTCTGTTACCGCCAGAGTTGTTATTGCGACCTTGTCCATGGGATTGAAATCTGTCGGGGTTTTCGAAATTGATAGACTGTGGTGCATCGTAACGGAAATCGAAGCTGGGGGCGGGGGGCGGAGCGCGATAACCATCGTTCATACGGTAAGGATCTCCAGCTCCAGAGGGACGACGGGGAGGTTGTACACCAGGAGCATAATTTCCATAGGCTGGCGGAGGAGGGTTATGACCACCAAATTGGTACATATCGCGATCGCGGTTTGCAGAGTGGGGAGCATAACTATCGTATTGAGGAGCAGGAGCAGGGCGATAAGAATCACGACCCATGTCGCGACGATTTCTTTCGGGTGTATGATAATTGCTGTTTCTCTCATCTCTTTCTCTTTCCCAGAAAGTTCCAGGGGGTCGAGGCGGAAGGCCATTGGGAAGAGGCGGTTGACGCGACATTTTCAAATGATATTTTGCAGATAAAATGTCGAGGTTGAGGTTGAGGATCGAATTGTTTGATGGAAAAAGTTTCCTAAGAGATGGGCTGGAGCGTCATTGTCTTATTATTGATTTTTGATTTGAATATTGATCGGTTAAATTGTTAGCATGGGACAATCCGGCCAATGAACTGTACAGCAATCTGCCATGGTAGATACAAAGGCGGTGCGGGCAGGTGCGGGGAGAGGAGAGAGAGGGATTAGGTAATCAAAATGATGACCTGATCGTCCCACCGAGTCAGCTCAAGAAAGGGAGAAAGGATGTTGCGATCTAGCAAGACGCACCTGTACCAGTGGTGAAACTCTATGGAGGACCTAGGCACGTGCTAGGTACCTGCTCTTCTTGATCTTGACCGTTCATTGATTCTGCAAATGTACCTACCGTACCTGTACGAAATGGAATTGATACAAAATTCAATGGTATGCCTTAGGATCCTTTCTCCTCTTTTACATTCACATGCACCAGTACGAATCAATACCTCACCATTATGATTCGAGAGTCTCATTCATTGGCTGCTAGCGACGTACAGCGGGAAAAAAGAGCTGCACTCATGAGGTTGATTGATAGTCCATATTGATTGATATTGTGACATGTGATTGTACTCTACCCCAGATTTCGAGCCGAGTAGAGCGCTTTTCATTCCTTCCATTGTTCAATTGTAAGTCCTCGCTCATTCATTAAATTTCTACTTACTCTCCTTCCCCCGAAACTCTTCTTTCCATTGTCCTGTCGTAAATACTACAATTCATCAAATCATTTATTTCCTTTTTGGGAAGTTCTAACGCAGTCCGTTGATCTTTCTCCAACATTTCCTTCCCCTGTTATAGCCTGTTGATAGAAATGACGTTGTAATTAAATGGCTGCGTTCGTATGTCACCAAATCTTGCCCCATGCCTAATTAGCCTTCTCCCAACAATCCGCCTTTCAAGATCTTCAGAACCTCACATCTAACCAGATCAATAGGATACTCCTTGGTTGGATCAAATGTCTGGTACTCCAAGCTTAAGAAAAGATGACCATGGCGGATCCTTCACAACTCCTTCTGATCCGAACCCTCCGACAATAGCTGCATTTTCTCCTGTCACTCTATCCCATGCCTCATCCGCGAACAAACAGAGATCAACCATATTGGTGCATCACAAGTCCCCCTTATTACTAGCGACTCCTCCGCAGATTACAAGAGCTCTAGCATATTCGCATCCTTTTCTATTGCCCCTCAATAAACTTGTAGGGCTGATAACATGGACGAGTGGAGATCCTTGGGAGAGCTTCTTGCTCGTCGCTAGTTTTTGGGCATTTGTACTATATGGAGATGTTGTAATGCGATATGCTGGACCGTTGGTAGTCGTTATTGGTTTAATACTGGGGATGTACTCAAGACGTTATTCTCCTTTATCATCAACAAGCTGGACAGGAGAGAAGCAGAAGAAGGGTCACAAAAAAGTCGACTCCGAAATTACAAATACCAAGCACCAGAAGACTTTGGACGAGATTGTGGAAACCTTGAAGATATTTACGTCAAGATGCAACGTGCTTTTGGATCCTCTTTTACAATTGACGGATTTTCTGTCGACTCAGCGAACAGCGACGTCTGCCACAACTCGTCCGGCACTTACGACACTCTTAATACGAATCCTTCTCATCACACCCGTATGGATTATTCTTACTTTGCCCCCTCTGCAGGTTATCACCACAAAACGTATTGCTTTAGTAACAGGGACAATTTTCCTAACTTGGCATTCTCGTCCGAATCGAATTGCAAGAACGATACTATGGAGATCATCCCTCGTTCGTCGCATATGTACTGCCTTGACTGGTCTACATTTAACAGATGAGCTATCACCAAACACAAATGGGGCCAATTATAAACCTCCTCTACCACCTCGTACGGTATCTTCGTATGCCGATGCATCGTTAGCAGCGAATGCAGCTGTAAAGAGAAGGCCAGAAGCACCAGGGGTGAAGTTTACATTCATTTTATATGAAAATCAGCGCAGATGGGTTGGACTAGGATGGACAACATCATTGTTTGCATATGAGAGGGCTGCATGGACAGATGAACATCTGAATGCTGTTACTCCAAAAGAAGATTTCGAATTGCCAGATGTAGAGGGCGGTGGTGCAAGATGGAGGTGGGTTGAAGGTAGTCGCTGGCGTGTAGAAGGAGCTGCCGAATATGATGAAGGTGGATCTAAACCAAAAGCCGAGAGCGATGGGGGAACAGGGTGGATATATTATGATAATAAAGTATGTACAATCACATCGTTTCCGCTTGTATTTTACATGTAAAGCTGACCTTCTATAGTGGCAAAACGGTCGCCGAGGCCAAGATGGATGGGGAAGATATACCCGCCGCAGGAAATGGTACCGTGACGCCGAGCTTGTTGAAATAACTTCGAGCACGGAAATAACGCCCTCACCAACCCCTACCCAAGCATCTGCAAGTCTAGATTCGAATTCTGCTCATACGCGACTTTCGTCGTTCTCAGGTTCTAGATCGAGAAGTCCCCCACCAGAATATTCGGATCGGGATGATGCTAGTTTGAGGAGTAATAAAAGTGGCCGGCTTAGCAGCAAGAAGAGTAGTTTGAAGAAGGAATACTTGGAAAGGGAAAGTAGGAAAAGTAGTGTGAGTCTACAATCGGAAGGAGATGACGAGAGGCCTTTTACGAGGCCGAGAGCAACGGACTGGGGGCTAAGTGATGATGCCAGGATGGGACTGGAGTAGACGGATGTTAGGCGGACTTTCGGTATGGGATTCGGAGTAATTGTGAAACTGGGAAAGGCATCTGGAAGGGGAGATTCTAATTTCTCACGGGGATTAAAGGGATACTATACCATAGCGTGTGTGAATTGTAAACATTTTATTCTTGCAATATCATTTCCCTATAGAAGATTGCACGTGATCTAAATTTTGGAGGAATATATTTTTGTTCTTTGTCTATTCATTCATTCGCTTCAGCTACCCACCCCTATCGCAAAAATTTTATCCCTCAAACGAGTACTTTGAGTTGTGCTGTACAAGTAAAGAAGAACCTATTGTACAGATCCCAGACCCCAAACCATTCCATGCCATCCTTCTGACCCACCTGTTCCCTTCCATTCCATACACCATATAAATTACCACTGAGCTCTTTCATCCCGTGCCATTTGTAAACCGCGACTCCCCTCCCACGCGCCTCTGGATAAAGAAATCTTCTTACAATTCCTTTATGTATTTATGCTCCCGCAACCTTTCCTAAAGTTCCAACCCCTCTGCTTGAGAAAATACCCATGATTCCAAAGCCAACGTAGAATAAGGCCAGAGGATAAGCGACTAGTCCTCGCATCCCCTTCATTCTGCCGACCGCACAGAACATCCCACTGCTACTATATGTACACCACACAATCGCCAATGTGGTCAACACATATCCAACTAGTCCATCCATTGGCATAATAATTCCCACTACGCTCGTGAGTACTAATGGCAATAAACAATAACCCAGCACACTAGCACTCCGTGGAAATGTGAGGGTAGAAGAGAGATGTGAGGGACCGACTGGTTGTTGAGAATTAGGATCGGTGTTGAGAGGTGGTGACATGAGCGAAAGGATTAGGTGCAGAGAGGAGGATCCAAGGAGCGCCAGCCCGTATATGTATCCGAAATGTACTTTTCCGGAAAAGAGGAGGAAGGTTCCAAATAATAGGAAAAATAGAATGGGTCCCGCGAGATCAGAATCGTCCATTATGTGTTGATCGATATGCGCAAGGGGATTCAGTACTGCTAATGTCTATGGATTCAAATCAGCATCTGCGCATTCCATAGAAGCGAATAATAATAGGAGAAATAATCATACCTTACTCCTGATGTGACCGAAATTCACTCCCAATTCTTCCAACAATGGTGGTTCACCATCATAACCCTCAGTTCCAAAAGCAGCTAGCCATCCCGTTCTCAATCCACCACTCTCTCCCATCCGCCCACTAACCCCCGCTGGTCCACTTGCTGGGAATCCAAACCCGCCACCTCCAGCACCAGGATATGCTTGCGCAGCGGGGGGAACACCATATCCATATGCTGCCTGTGGTGTTGCGTGACCGGAGACGGGGCCGGGAGCGTATGTTGAGGGGTAGAATTGGAGGTTTTGAGCTGCAGTGTTGGATGCGCCGTAAGGGTTATTGGGGGGAGGGGAGGAATAAAATTGCGACATCTTTTAAAAGATGGAAAGATAAGAAGCTCTAAACTTGTATTGCAGATTGGTCGATATGGGGTTTACAGAGTTGGGGAGCCGATGTGGAATAGGAGAAGCATTTGTGATTGTTTTGGTTATTTGCAGCGCAGGTATCTTAAGGTGTCTTTTTTGGGGGTACCAGCTAGCTGGAGGACTGATGACGGTTACTAGCCTTATTAGGCATTAATAGGTATCTTTGAATCCCTGCCAATTCGGCCGATGGCGGAAGTTTATTCCGGGAAAAAGTCTAGATATTCACATTATCTCTCGACTTCTGGTGAACAGTAATAAGTGACTTTTCCACACCATAATTCATTTTTCAATTGTCTGGGACCTGCTGTTGACTGTCGCAGTTCCATCATCATGGTATGTACACGATAAGTCTCTTCTCACGAACTCCACATACATCTTCAAAGTGCAATTCCTACGACTATGCCACTCTTTTACTCCAAATGGCAAAATCCTACAACTGACTGAATGAAAGGCCCATCGCATCATAACCCAAGTCGTCATAACCGGCTCACGAGTTCTCGGGCGCGCCCTCACCGAATCCTGGAAACAAGCGAAAGCCTCCTCAGCATACCAAAAAGCGCAACAAAATGGTTCTGCTTCGGGTGGTCCAACTTTCTCCTCCAACGGTCTCACATTAGATGAGGCCTGCAAAATTCTCAATGTTAAACCACCAAAAGAGGGCAAAATGGATATGGAAGATGTGATGTCGCGGTTCAAGAAATTGTTCGACACGAACGATCCGAAGAAGGGGGGAAGTTTTTATCTCCAGAGTAAAGTGCTGAGAGCGAGAGAGAGGTTAGAGGGCGAAGTGAGGGTTAAGGCAGAAGCATTGGAGAGGGAGGCCGAATTGGAGAAAGGGTGGAAACCGAAGGTTTTTAAGGACCGGTGATCAATGCTATTGAGGTGCGGGGCTGATGGGTGTGTAGGATGGATAAATCTTAGGACGGCAAGACGGTTGAGGAACGATAATATCCCGACATAAGCTTGAACTGATGGACGACGTCGAACGAACCCTGAATGAATCTTCCCTGCGGATAAATGGATGTGCAAACTCTTCCCTCTTTTGTATTAAATACATAGCATGGCGTTTTGGGGTGGGAAAGATTATGTGGGTATCCTGGTCAGCATTTCTTGCGTGGATATGAGAGGTTATGTAGATACTGCATGAGAAAGACGGTCAAATATGAACAAATGTTCCAATCTACAATATATTGGGGCGAAATTATATTTTTGGTTTGCATTTTCGAGGGGGCCATATTTAGTTCAACTCGCCAATTACTACTTCTCTGTTTAGATCTTTCTACCATTCAAAAGTTTCCATGATTTTGTTCCTAACTAAAGGCCCCCCTGCTCTGTCGCTTCTTTTGTACGTCAGTGTCACTCGTCTTCCATCCTTCTCGAATACAGGTTCCACTTCACTAATTCTCGCCAATTCCGGAATATCGGCCGCTTCCCTCACATCCTCTATCCCATACTCCTCCAGTTCCATTACTTTCCTAGCAACTCTTGCTGTCATACCAGCATTCCAAATTCCCTCTTGAAGATTGGGTGCGCGTTCCAATAAGGCAATTGCTTTCCTCCTTACGATCGGGTGGCGACATGCGCCTGCGACTTGATAGAGAGGTCCGATGATACCCATATCTATTTGGAAAACAATCGTGGCGAATGCAGGATTGGAAATGACCTCTTCTGATAACACGGTGATTTTCTCAAAAATGGACAAAAACGGGTCCCATAACATTTGGTTATTTTTGACGCCGCGCGGTACATGCGCATTCATATATCCGGAATGGCTTTGTATTTGTAAAATTGCAGCGCCTACTTTATCAGCTTCGGAAAAGGTATCACTATATTTGAGAATGAAGGCCTGGAAGGCGAACAGCCATTTGTGGGCGAATTGCATGGTTTCCATTCGCCAATTAAGGAAACGCTGGTTGAGTTCCGGGGAGTCTGATTGGCAGTCGAGAATATAGAGATCGATCCGGAAACGAGACCAGAAGAAATGGAGCGAGTTGCGAGCCTGGGAAAGAGAAGTAAACATCGCTGGAGGGTATGCTGTGAAGTGAGAGCTTTTGAACTTGTTGTAAAGGGATTGGTCGAAGCTGTCGATCATCTTTAGGGGAACTTATTAATATCCGACCTTTACATCATCCGCAAGGGAGCGTCTCAAACTTACTTGAGTAAGTACAAAATCCGAGCGCAGATATAATTCTTCAAGAAGTGACATCGGCAAGTATGGGTAGTTGGAAGTCTTGAGCGAATCATGGTAGTATTTCTGAGAATTTTCATCATATGTGATCTCGCAAAGTATCTTACTACCACTTTCCTGATGTGCGGCTCCATGGCCATAATTACCTTGCATCATCTACAGTTCATGCAAATTAACATCGATACTCCGGCATCCAATAGAAAGGCACTGACCTCAAAAGCAGAAAACAAAACGCAATTGATTAGACACACATCCATAGCCTGTCGTTCCTTCTTTGCAAATGGTTCCACCATGCATTTAATGGCTCGATTGTACTCTAAAAGGGGGAATTGGTCTTCGGCAGAAGAGAACAGCTTACTCGATGAAGTAGAATGAGAATTTCTTTCTTTGCTGTGATGCAGAGCACCCAATGCAATGACTGCATGACGAATGGAAGGCTCGTGATGTGCAGCTCGAGGAATCATTTCTGACCAACAGCTTTCCTTACCAAACCCACCCATCATGGGAGCCGTCATATTAACAAAGAAGTGAAAAGCCTCCCGCTCTCGATCAGATGTGAGAATGACTGAAGACGAGGGTGATTGTATAAGTGCAGTACTTGTTTCGTAATCGCTGAAATCGGAATTGGAGCTTGCAGGAGAGTCACTGGACTCCTCAGCATAGCCGTCACATCTTCGGCCGGTGGATGCACATCTTTGACATGATGGCCGTCCTTCGTCACATTTCACTCTTCGGACTGTAGTACTTTCAGTTACATACAAATTCTATCTACACTAAGATACGGAAGAATTATTGTCTCTTACTTCTACACCATGGTTAGATATATGACATACCAAATAGCATTGAAAATACATACTTACAAGTCACACACCCCGTTTTAGTCTTTGGTCTATAGGCCCGTTTTCTTTGGCCAGGAGCAACTCTAGGCATGATGATTTAGCTATTGTGATGTTTTTCGAAGAATTGTGAACACAAGCTCGAGAGAAAACACACCTTAAATTGGGGAGAAGTAATAGAGTTCACAGGAGGTGACTTGAGGCTGTGAGTGGGTCTGTGCCCTGTAAGGTTCACCTGGGTGGCTCGAGGGTGGTTAAGGATAGGAAGCATCCGCCGAATCCCTGTGATGCCTTTTGGCGGAGTGGCCAGGCGAAGAGCATGCGCAATTGCAAGTAGAATCGTACAGAATCACAGATCGTATTGAACTCGAGCAATATCCCATCTTCATGCAGCAGAGAATCTGTAACGAGAGTTATTATCATAGTCAAACGTGTACAAGAATGCTAGTCTATTCTAACCTTAACTGGCGCTACATACTAGGTAAATACACCCGCTAATTGAGCAGAAAGATAGAGTTAAGGTTACCCGAAAATTCCGCAAGCTGGCTGGTCCCGGTTACTTTGACGAGGCTTGTGGAAGACAGCACAGCGCAGCCACCAGAGCTCAATAAATCGCCGAGATAATCAATCGTACGCTCTAAACACTTACTTGCATTTTGATATTTTATAATGATATCGATTCACATCGAAATCCGAGTAACATGATTTCTTAATAACTAACAATTTTATGAACTTGTTACTTTCATTTTTGATTCAAATAATGATTCTTCGATTTGATTTCGAGTATTGAAAACTGTGTACATTTTCAATCTCCCGATTTTCATCCTGCTGAAGGGCAGACAACCTTTCCTTTATGCTCGAGAAAGGGGTTCCGGGACGACATTCGATTTTTTCAAGTACGATAGTGATATTAAGCAGAAGTTTGCATTTTCCGTTTGTCATTGTCACGATCGATGTGGCTCATAAGTCTAACTGACTGTCAGCCTGTTGGCGACTTGGCGTACAACAGCCTGTTGGAGACATACTATCCCCCCCCAAAATACCGCTTGATAATGAATTTCAAGAAGTTTCCAATGTACTATTAGTTGATCTTGAATAGTAGGTAGTAATAAACAATGCCCTTGAAATGACTTGTCTTGATATGCTGTTGTGTAAATATCGAACTGACAAACGTGACATTAAAATACATTATGTATCCGCAACTCTAGTTTCAACCAATCTCATGAGTATATTTCAACTCAACAAGGGTAGTACCCCATCCCTCCTCAAGAAGCTACCTTTGGCTTGGAGGTATCTTCCAGCAACGTGTTGAAAACGAGACCCAGTGAATCCAACGACCAATTTCATTCGGTCAATCATGATTATAACTCCAACTCAACTTTTGAATCTCTATAGCCCAACCTCTAATGCGGCTCTAAAGCCAACGCCAATTCTCTTTCTCAAGTCATACAATATCTATTTCCAACTCCGAACCTCAAGCTGTTCATAACGACTTGTGAATATTACACCATTTGAACGTCGTAAGTATCACTGTTTCCAATCTTCTGCATCTTTGTTCTAAAGGCGACGTTCTTCCTCGCTTTCCTCCCTGGAATGCTTGAGTCCGGATCCGCCATGATGCGACCGGGATGAAATATGTTAAGAATAACGAGAGCAAAAAGCATTGGGACAGAGTCGAGAGAGTATTGGAAGGCCTCGTGGTTGGGAATACTACTTTTTAGGCCTTGAGAGTATTCAACGAGACGGAAAATGATTCTGAGCTATGAGGTGGGTTAGAAAAGAGATTCGAGAAGCTGGGGGAGAGGGATGTGCCTTACAGTTATCAGTAATATGACTGCATATAAGGCATAGAGTAAGGACCATGCTTTTCGTGGAGTATAGATCTTTCGACGGGACTGGTCACGAAGTGTCTGATGGAACTTGAAGGCGAAGAAAAGGAAGACGAAGATGAAGAATTGCTGTATTCCAACACCACCCATGTAGACATGAAGGCCTAAAGTAATGTTAGCTAGCTCAAGCAAACGGAATCTGCGATGATCACACACCATCCAAGATTTCACTTGAAGTTGCGGTGTCGCTGGATGCAGTTGCAGCTCCGTAAACCTGAATGATAAGTGCTCTGAGTTCTATGTTAGTGCTGGATTGAAACTTTTAGGGGTTTGACTAGACATACACAATATCTAGAATCACAAAGTAGAGTCCAAATCTCCATGCCGTTACTTTCCATATCGTAGCATCTGTGGAGTAATTCCAGATCATCCTTCCCATGACCATATATGTGAAGGCATTTGTGAAAAGTGGTGCAATCTAGACACATAGGTTAGTTTCATCAATCAATGTTGATTAAGAGAATCACTCACTAAAATTAGAATAAACCAAGCTGCATAATCTGCAAAACTAGCAGGAATATTTATGCTAGCAACTCTGAATATATACGTAAGAGTCTGTGCTAGTCCTGATGCTATAATGACCCAACAGTATGCCTTTCTATAGAGGATAGCTTGGGCCAAGTGAGCTACAGTGGTGAGAAAGAATAGGACGGCAAAAAAGTAGGCGGCACCGACGTTGGGACAGAAGCTCCATTTTGTATGAGGGGTATAAAGGGCTAAGTAAATCAGGACTCGTGGGTGATGAAGGGAAGGGATATTTGGAGCTCACCAGCACAAGTTCCGTTCATTTTTGAAAGCTCATATAAAACACTCTGTTGTGAGTATTATGTACGAAAGATGCAAAGACTCAGATCTATACAGATGCTGTGAATGAACTCTTTGCATAAAATTGAAGCCGATTATGATAGTGAAGAAGTCAATTGAAGAACAACTTGAAGTTCATCTGACACGTTGTACTAAGTTATATATTTCGCACTTCGGAAACCACACAACCCCATTTGCACTTGTCGCTGAGGCGCAGACAGCTCGCTCGTATGGTCAACATAATACTGAATATAACACTATCAGAGTATCCAATGCCAATACTGGCATAGAATCCTAAATATGATTCGGTGATTGTAATTCCCCATAGTCCTTGCTTACCTTGCTAAAAGGCTGGTATGAATTCAGACGCAGGGACTTGGTTGAGAAGGCATGATTCGTTGAATCGTAGGGACATGTTCATCGGATCAAACTTCGCAGTTTGACTTAGAAGGAGTTGAACTTGTTCAAACAATGGCATGTGTCTATCCTGCCATCTGGGGCAATCACCTCGTTCGGACTGTTGGTGAAGGACAATAAGCGGGCCTCGACTCTTTTGTCAATTCTTTCATTGGCCTGATCGTAGGTACACCCTGCTTGTGTCTGTGCGCAACCTTTTTTCCCGCTTGACTGGGGCAATCACGTGACATAATCGCGACTAACAGAAAAGCCGAGTGTCAAAAACCTACGGAGTTCATGGTATATCTCGATCGAAGTTTGATATCAAAAGCATCAATAGAAATACCACTCCTTTAAACTCTCTATAATACATTTCTTTTTGCGGGTTCGGCGTTCGGATTTTTCTGTTAATTGCGGGGCACTGTGGTTGTAATTCTTCAGTATCCTGCTAATTGCCATCCTGGTTGACCGTCAATCCTGCACTACCCAGGTACATGGCGCAATTATATACTTTGAATCTTGCTTCCTACTCGAGCAATTCCTAGTAGTCTGTATGTTTTTCTGTACAACTCTGCCTTGGCCGGTAACTAAGCCCCTTTCTATCATAAGATGTATTGTGTTGACTATCACTGCCAAACATTTCTCCATTGATTGGAACAAAAATTAATTTTGATTCCTAAAATCACTATATTTTTAGCATCTCTACCATTCCGAACGGTAGTCGTTCGCCATTGGATTCAAGTTTCTCAAGCAAACGGGGGGTAACGACGCTTTGGAAATTTATGATCATGTTCGCGATAAGTACAGCATCAATGGCTACAAGATCCGAGTGGGCCAGACTATTTGTAACGCCTTGTTAGATGAGCCAGCATTGTTGGCTACGGTAACGCCAGAACAATAAGTCAGCAGTTGAGCGGTGGTGATATTGCAAGAGCAAGACCATTTGGACCCAACAATTTTAGAGGAGTACATTAACTCATGCATCTCTGAGGACAATCGACTCTATCCCAGACTTCTGTTCAAGAACAATATCCGAGCCATTGGACTTAGCGATCCAATATCGGCTTCGGTGGTCGCAAGTCATCAAGCAAGTAACATTTGACGTGGCAGACACTCTTGGAACTTCATATCTATTCTTGAAACTTAGGAACAATACTCGAATATAGGCTCGTAGGTCTCATGTCTCGACGTGACCGGCGTCAAGCCATGGTATGCGAGAGGACAGGTTATGTTTCGTATGGTGTACATGTTGTAACGAACAATCTCTCCAACAGATCCGAGCGATGACGTTCGCTTCCATCTTAGCTCGCCTCCCTCCTCAAAGTTCGTCTCGGTCTCGAAGTTGAAATGCCATATAAAGCCGTCTCCTCCCCTCCGACCACTCTACTTTTATTACTGCGACTTGTGTTTATGTAAATGCTGGTTGGGGTACTTGCCGGCTATTAGAAAAATTCTGCCGACCACCCTAAAGTGGTCGGTAGCACCAATCCTGACCTACAGCAACCCTGATATAGTGAAATATATTTTATAAATCAATAGTAAATCAATTATACAATATATAATATTAAATTTTAGTACAGATGATAGCTTTGATTAGCCTTTTAATTTAGTATTGAATTTCTAATAATATATATTTTATCTAATGATTTGTAATATTATAAAATATAATATTTTTCTCTTGAGTTCAATTTGAAAATATTATTTTCTTGATTCCGAAGTTTTAAACAAGATCTAATTCATTACTAACTTTACATCTATATCTTCACTATTAATACTCAAATAATCATTCTTAATAACTATATTGAGGCTATTCTAATAAACATTTTTATCTTTTCATTTCTTCAATTGAATGTATAATTGATTTATTATTAATTTATAAAATAATTTCACTATGTCAGGATCGCTGCAGGTCAGAGTTGGTGCTACCAACCACCTACGGGTAGTTGGCCATATTATGAATAGCCGACAAGTAGTCGTTGGGTTTGATTATTAGTTTCATTTTTTGGACTGAATATTCTATGGGCAACGTTGAATCTAATCTAGTTAATACTACGCCGGAAGACCTTTCGGAAGCATTAAAAGCACGAATAGTCATGCGGATTAGTGAATATGTGAGAATTTCAGCAAGTAAGGTTATACAACGATGAAAGCTATTTCAATAAAGAGTAGATTGTATTGTAATAATTTATCCCTGGGCTGAATTCTGAGATTTCCCATATTTCCCTGCAATACGAAAACTAGACCAGACCATGTAGAAAAACCTACTTATACGCCATATTTTTCTCCTATCCTTCGAGCCAAGTCGAAAATTTGTAGCAATCAATGAGAAATGAAACCTTCACGAACTCCGAAATATCAGATCGTCAGAAACAAACCAAACCCACTCATCTCAAGCCACCACTTCTAGCACTCTCCCCAACCCTAACGTTCTCATCTTCCTCTACATCCTTATTCCTTAAGCTATCTCTGCCTCTTCCAATGCTCACACTGGCCGACGTACTAACACTCTCACTTCTTGGTCTGTTCAAACTTGCATCACTCTGTCTTCTATCCCTTATCGTCCTCTCCAACTCCCTAATCCTCTTCTTCAACGCTTCATTCTCTCTCTTCACATTTTCTAATTCCTGTCTTTGAAGGGCTGCCTCCTCATATCTTGCTGTTGTTGGCACGCTTGTCGCACTACCAACTTCACCCGCAGTGCTACCCATTGTTGGTACATTACCCGATGAATAATCACGATGTGGTAGCATACTAGGTCGTTGTTGGTGATAGAAATGCGAGAATTGATCCGCATGTCCATAACTACCGCTCAATGGTGCAGGACTACTGGCTCCGGATCTGTGAACACCAGTTGTGGAGTTTTGGCGACTCAGGGAGATAGCTTGAGGTAGTGAATCGACGCGTCGAGCGGCAGGGGCGGCGATTCCACTGGTCGTGCTGATACTGCCTGCTGTGGCAGTAATGCTTCGAGTGGAGGTGCTGGAAGATGTGCGGTGATGGCGACGGTGTGAAGGAATGGGGTGGTTGGGTCCGGATAGGAGATGGTTTGAGTTATCTAACCCATCAGGGTGGCCTGCGGAAGTGGACGAGGTATTTGAGACGACGGAGGCATTTTGAGCAGCACGAAGCATGCTCAGCTCGCGGGTTAATCGATTCACCTATCATAGCATCACAAAGATTAGTACACATAACCAGAATACAAAGCTTTCATTGTCTGAAAGAATCACTAGACATTTGATAAACTATCGGAATGTACATACGACAGCTTCTTGTTCTTTCTCCAGTTGTAGATGTAAATCCGCAGCCGTCAGAGGCCTTGGGTGTCTTAACGGTCCAGGTCCCATTCCTACACCGGTATTATCTCCTGAAGGAATCGTGCCAGTTGCAGATGTCAAAATATTATTGGAAGGCGACATCAAAGGAGGTGAAGCTGCAGTGACAGCACTTTGGTTCGAAGGGAGAATATTTAAGGAAGAAGTCGATAGATTATTTGGGGAAGCCATTGCTTGAGAAGTGCGTCGGGAAGGAGTACGAGATGTAAGACGTGGAGATGCTATCACCTCCTGAGGTCTTGGGGATATAGGTATTGAGTTTAAATCTGGTGCCATCACTTTCACCGAAGTGAGCACGGAGTGGATTGTAGACTTTCGCGCGACGATAAATACACGTTTATGTATTGCTAGGTTTCAATAGTGCGGGACCATATTATACATAGGAGTAGGATTAGAATAACTTTGTAAATCAATTAGTTAATCTAATTGTAACAAAATCATAAGGCTGTAGCACTATTGCTGAGGAACGGTTTGATAGCGCATCCATGGATAATTTAGAAAGGGTGAGGCTACCTAGGTAATCTTGGCATGTGGCTTGTGACTTGTGACTTGTGGCTGACACTCAAAGCTTAGCAAAATCACATGATCCTATTTAAGCCTGGAGTAAAAGCCCCGAGTTCATGTCACAGTGAAAGGATGAAGTGGGGGGCAACTTTCTCTATGACGTATGAAGCTTAGAGGGGTATATAGAAAAGGAGAAGCTTGTTTCTGTCAACCTTCATATCTAAAACTCTACACAACTTTACTATCCATCTCTCAAACTCAATTCCTCTTCATCAATGTAAGTTTATACTTGATCACTCACATACTCAATCATCTGCATCGACTTAACATCGTCGTTTGGTCCCTCGCTTCGTACAAGCTAACCTCTACCTCCTATTCCATGTTCCATACAACAAATCTCAAATTCATTCTTCAGTCAAACTAATTGTCCTTAGAACTATCTAAACACACATACACACATACATCATGCCTGAAGGACGTCAATCACCACCACCTGAGACCCAATCCGGTGCTCAAACAGGTGCTCCCTCCGATGCCAAGGGAGTCAGCCAAGGAGGCAACAACCAACAAGACAGCAAATCCGATCTTGAGGTACGTAAAGTTCATACCTGCTCGTTGAGTAGACATCTAACCAGATTCAATGCTAACACACTTCTCACAGAACCTCTCCTCAAACCCAAAGGGACCTCTCGATGATCACTCAAACGAGACTCGCTCAAAGACTGAGAACTAAACGCGAACTGATATGAGGGTGTTCGGGATAATGAATGGAAACATGTATATTAGTCGCACTTCCAAAGGAAGTGTACGTATTGATACGATATGAGATGATATGATACCGTCATGAAATGGGAGGAGTTAAATGAGACAATGAAATAAACTCGTTATCAAGTATTCTGGTGTGATGTTGGCTTACTTCTGTCGTGAGAACGTGCAAGGTGTATCAATATTTCTATATAGAATACAGACTCTTTGAAAAACATATATTGTCACACATTAGTTGGTTCAATGAACAGCAGAGGGGCTCAGTATTTTCCAACGGTCTTGTTGACCTATATGCAGGTCTACCTATCCATATCTCAACAACAGGCTTGTAAGATTACATAACTAATCCATCAACAGAATGTTGTCATGCATTATCGTCACGGTTTTCTGAGTAATTATGTGGACACAAGCGTCACTTTTTATAAAAATTGCCAAGTAAACAGGACTCTTTGCCGTCACAAATAACATCATATCAGGGACGCACGTAATTGTGGTGAAAAACAAATGATATTTAATTCGCGAATTGATCATTAACCTTCATATTCCCCCAACGCATCGCTTGCAAACAACCGTCCAACTTAATCTGATAGTTCATCCCTAATATCCGTTTTCTGTAACCATTCACACCGATCCCAAAAATTGCCACTCTCATAAAAAGATCAAAAACACAAAACGCTCAAGCAAAGGTTGGCTTCTCAGATTGAGAATCGAGAGGTGCAACCTTGGTTGAGTCCACAATAGCTGCTGAATCAGCTGGTTAAAAAAGCTAAGTCAGCAGGTAACTAATGATACAATTTGATTTCCATGACCAGCAACGAAAGAAACATAAAAGAATGATCTATTTGCAACATCCAGTGCAAGCACATTGGCCTTCCGCACAAGGACAGTCTTTACTGTCTCCACCACACTTGCAAGTCGTCTTGTCGCTACCAGCAACCTTCTCTGTTTCGGCCTTGGGACAGGAGTTGCAGCTGCACTGACCAGGAGCACAGCCACATTTCGAGGTATTACCACCACAACCGCAGGTTGTTTTATCAGAACCTGGAACCTTCTTGACATCGGACTTGCCACAGTCGCTGCATGCACAGGATCCAGGGGCACACGGACATTCTCCAGAAACTGAACCACACTTACAAGTTGTCTTCTCGGTACCAGGAACCTTTTGTGGTCCTTCCTGTTTCTTGATATCTGCCAAACGACGAGCCTCGGCGTGAATATCCTGAACTTGGCGAGAGGTTTGTGTGTAGAAGTTGACAAGCTTTTGACCAGTTGGGGTTCCGGCAGCCTTCTCGTAATAAGAGGTTAATCCAGAAAGGAGGGAGCTGGCCTTTTGGGTAACACCATAAGATTGATCGACACCCTTGGCCTTCTCAGTGGCATGGTACTTGCTGTCGAGACTGTTTAAGGTGGCGAGGAAGCGGTTAGAGACTCCATGCTTTTGGTCCAGGTCGATAGCACGTTGAGCAGCGGTATCTCCAATGGCATAGCCATGGGCAAGATATTCTGCAATGATACGGCTTCTTGGCTTCTCCTCCTGGGTAATCTCGTCGCTATCACGTTGCTCATTGGAAGTATAATGGCTTCCATCGTCCTCGTTGGATCCAGATGCACTTGTAACCTTAACCTGGGTAGATCCAAGTTGAGTGTTGTCGAGTAACAGAGCAGTCTTAGCTGCGGTTTCCTTCTCAAACTGAACGGTGGCGTTTTGTGTCTCTCCAACGGATCCAACTTCAAGGCTAGTAATCTTTCCACTATATTGATGTTAAACTCTTGCAAGGAAGTAAAAACTTGAGGAATGGAGTTGAAGCTCACCAGAAGCTGAAGAAGTCTTTAACTTCTTTCTCGCTGGTCTGCGAGGAGATGTTCTTGACGTGTACTGTATTGGCAGACATGATGATGAGGATGGATGATAGTTTGTGAGTTTGTTTTATTATTGAGTTGTTTTGTTACAAAGAAGTTTGACTGAATTGCGTTGAGTGTAGAAAAAGTTGATGGTTTTTTGTTGAATTGTATCGTGGCTCTTTGAATGTATTTGTAGCATGCAATGGAATGGGAAACAGGGGCGAAAAGTGGGCAGATCAATATGGCCAAAAACAAGAGGGGTAATTGCGTACGTCACTGTGGCGTATGTGGCTTGTGAATGACAGCGATGCTGAGTTTACTTTATATAAGCAGAAACACCCAATCAAAGCTCATGATCTATCGCCAGTGGTTTCTGGTGAACTCCTGGGCTACTCCGTACTAGGTAGGGAGGTGCGTAGGTACCTAGTAGGTAGCCAAGGAGAAACAACTAGAATCCTCCACCAGCTCCTACAATTGTTAGCATTTCTATCATTTGAATACTATCAACACGCGTGAAGTTTGGTATAGAATATTAGCATAGTTCGTACATGGTATCAAGAGAAGAAGGGCGCGGGAGCGTAGCATTTACTAGTTACCTTACGTAACAGAAGACTAATAACATGGGAAAGTGAGAGCACGTGTGTTTATCGGCACATATAGCAGAGGTCTATTGACATTGGAACGAAAGTACGTGGATGGAAAGTACATGCCACTTATCTTCACTCATCGCAGGAAAGTACCAGATGGGAAAGGATTGTTTTCTCAACGAACAATAGCAAGCCATTAACGTAGGAAAGTGCGATTGTGAGAGGGAGTAGAACGGCACAAGACGCTTGCTTCATGAACATCACGAGATATGACAACAACGTATAACGCACAATATACCCTATCGCGATTCTAGTGAGGTTGTCATTTTATTGGTCGTCAACAAACAGTATCCATTGGTTAACACGCCCCTTCAACGTTGCTCATTATGGGGTTTCAACTAGACTTAGCGGCTGCCGAAGACGCAGATATACTTGCAGATATGCATCTGAACGCCTTCGCTCGAACGCCTTTGCAACGTACTCTATTTCCAACGGAAGAAAGCCTTGCAGGCTTACGTGAATGTCTCAAACAGGATGTACTCCTAACTTTGAAAGAAGGAAACGTTGAGAGAATCAATTTGGTAGTGCGAGACACCGACGACATGAAGAAAATCATCGCAATAGCCAAGTGGGATCTGCCTGAGAAGATCCCACGGGCCGTTTGTCCTCTCGCTCATATATTCCCTCCAAAGGATTCCTGCGGGGACCTTATCAAACAGTACAGTGCTAAGCAGGAATCTAATAAGATGAAGGTCATGGGTGATGCCCAATGCTATCGTAAGATTATCCCAGTTTTGTTCATACTAGTAATTCCCCCACCAATGTATTCGTTGTTTGAGTAAGCACCCAGAAGCATCTGTTTATTAAGTCTTTCAGGTTGCTTTTTTGGTCTCAGATTGTATCCACCACTCCTTCTGACAGCGCAAGATAGGTCTCACTTCAGTCATCACTCTGCCTCAATATAGGAGACGCGGAGCTGGAACTTTATTGACTAACTGGGGACTGTTAAGAGGGGAGAAAGAAAAAATTCCAGTATACCTGGAAAGTCCCGTTTCTACTTTGTCTTTCTTTCGAAATTTGGGCTTCATTCCTGTGAATGAGTTTTCAATATCCTTACCCCGGAGCCGAGCCCCTGGCTATATTCATAGAGAAACATGTATGATCCGAATATTTCGAGAATGTGATGCTAGAGAGGAAGAAATTGACTACTGGGACTCAAGTCTCGACATTGAAAGTCTAACGACTGATTATGAAGCTGGTGTCAGACCTCAACTCGTAGTGCAAGCTATTTATGACCGCATCGAAGCATATCGAAACATACAACCATCTTTGTGGATTTACCTTCAGCCCATTGAAGATGGTATGGCTTCAGCCAGAGATTTGTGCAGGCGTTGGCCAGATAGATCTAATAGGCCACCACTGTGGGGTATACCTTTCAGTGTCAAGGATAGCTTTGACATTGCTGGAATTCCCACCACGATTGGATGCCAAACACTTGCATACACTCCTAACTCTTCATCACTAGTCTACCGAAGATGTATCGACGCCGGTGCACTTTTTATTGGAAAGACAAACATGGATCAACTAGCTACTGGCATGACAGGTTGCAGATCTCCATTTGGCACGCTGCACTCAGTTCTCAGCCCAGACTACGTTGTTGGTGGATCGAGTAGCGGTAGTGCCATAAGTGTTGCTGAAGGCTTAGTGTCATTTTCTTTGGGCAGTGATACCGCAGGCTCGATTCGAATTCCCGCGATGTTTAACAATATTGTTGGATTCAAACCTACCAAAGGAACCGTTTCAGCTCAAGGGGTTGCGCCAGCTTGTCTCCATCAAGATTGCATTTCTTTTTTGGGTGTCACTTCAGAAGTCACTGAAAAAGTTTGGAGGGTTTGTCAAGGATTTGATAAAGAAGACTATTTTGCCAAACCTCCACCATTCCAGATCTCATCACGCGTATATTCCGAAGATACCAGAGATTCTAAGGATGCCTTGCCATCATTCAAGTTTGGTACACCACCGGACTCTGCGCTTGAAGCTTGTATCCCCATCTTTCAAAAGCAGTTCAAACTTGTAATTGCAATTTTAGAAGAGCTGGGCGGCCGGCGAGTGGATATGGACTGGACGCCCTTCGCATCCGCCAACGAGCTTCTTTACGGCGGTACGTTCGTTCTGGAACGACTCACAACACTACCCGATGGCTGGTTCGACAAGAACAAAGACACACTTCACCCAGTCATTCGCTCTGTCTTCGAGAATGCACTCGCACGTAAGAGCACGGCCGTTGATGTATTCAAAGATCTACAAAAGCAGGCAAAGTACAAAAGAATGGTCGAAGAAATTCTCACGCTAGACGATGATTCTCACGAATTAACCGTTATGGTAGTTCCCACTGCACCTTTTCACCCCACCATTGAAGAAGTGTCAAAAGATCCCATTTGTATTAACGAAAAGCTTGGCGCCTTTGCTCATTTTGCCAATGTTCTGGACCTAGTAGCTGTAGCGCTCCCTTGCGGGACATATAGGGTTGAAATTAGTGACACGGAAATCTTGCCGTTTGGTGTTACGATCCTGGCGGGAACGGGTCTGGATCGACATCTTCTGCATTTGATCAAGAGATTAGAAGATCCGTTGAGAGATATTGAAGACGATTTAGGATCAAATACCTCGCTGACAGGGGCCGAGGAATTTTCAACGAGAGCTTCTGAGGAAAATGATTATTTGGACAATACGGTCAGCGATATTGGGAAAGACACGACGGCAGAAGTTGAGGTAGATACGAGGAAAGGTGTCGAGAACAGTAGCAACTTGGAGGAAGTGTTGAGGAATATCGAGGACGAAATGTTGAAAGCTCATTCGGACAGTGATGAATTAGAGGAAAAGATGGGAGACACCGATGAAGACATGGTGAAATCTGCGAAGGGAAATAATTTGACTTAAGGCATGCGTCAATGACAACGGAAAAGTATCCGGTGGAGGCTGACGATTATCATGATATATTGCAAGAAACATCGAAAGATTTTGATGCAGGAGTTCCAAGATCGATGAGGCAGCGCTGATTTTTGATCTGGACGCGGACGAGGACGAAAACCTGAGCCAGATGCACATTTTTTGGATGCGTCATTCCAGTCTCGTTCCCTACTTGCCGAGTCTCGGGCTCATATAGCATTCTATTGACAATCCTGCAATGGTAGACAGCTTTGAAATGTTGGTTGAGGGAGCTTGAAGAATTTGCACCAAGGCGGAAAATCAAATAGATTGGTGTGGTCGAGATCTGGATAAGGTTATTACCTATTCATCAATTCATCGTTAATATTCACATCCAATTATATTAGACACGAAGTTTGGCTGTCAATTCTATGTCCAAATACCACAATACATTAGATGAGGCGCCAAAATTGAGACCTGCGATTGAGTATGCAAACAATTTCCATACACAAGTAATTGCATCCGGAGCTCATTCGCCTTAGGTTGAATCTACACAATCTATTAAAGGAAACGATGATATTCTGTTCTGTTCTACTCAAATAATAGTAGTGCTGTGTATTAACATCCCACACATATTCAAGATTCAAATGTACCAATCATTAAGCACTAGCGCAGATACCACCCTGAATTCTTGATGCAATCTCGAGGAGGGAAAGAGGCTGCATGTATGTCTTGTATAATTGGTATGTCATAGTTTTAGTAGTGCGAGAGCTGGAATTGGGTATTACATAACGACAGATCTAGTTGACTGCTTCGCGACACTCACACCATGATTTCATCATTGATTGTGGCAGATCTCTAGTCCGTCGGTTCTAGTCTTAGAGCCGAGGTTTTAGCTTGTTAGATAGGGCTGACTAAATCATAAATCATGAATCATAAACATAAAGACAATATTTGAGTGGAGATTAATGTTTTGAGGTAATGTGACTAGAGTTCCCTCCTCTACAATACGAACACTGTGAAAAGTATCGCTACATTGACTCCATTGAAAATAACACATCACTGCTAACGAAATCAATAAAGAACAAACAACAAACATTTCCATACCGATAACCCAAAACTCAGAGCCTTTCAGGTCACCCGCCATCCGATGAGATATCTTTGCTTCTTCCCTCCATCCATGCAGGCGCTGTCTCCCAGCTCGTCTCAATCAGCGAGAGCACAATTCCGCGCCTTCGTTCACTTGAGCCCGAGTCCCACAAGCGCACCATTGATCCCATCGACAACAGGCTCGAAACCCAAGGGACCCAAAATTGTCCACAGAATTTGTCGTGCATGGAGGGTTGCTGATGAGGATGCAACCCCCTAGATTTACTAGAGTGTTAGACATGAATTTCTAGTTATGTATGCAGGAGCGAGCGATTGTAGGGGTGTAAACTTGCATCATATTTGTCATCCTTTTGGATGACTTGGGAGTTCTTGTTCTCGGCCGCGGTATTCTTGGGTGATTCTCAGTGATTTAGAAGTGTGAACATGCTCATTAAGACTTACAGCGATGGGAGCCGCAATAGCGAGTGGTAGAACGATTGCTGCGATGACGAATCGTTGGAAATACATCTCGAGGGGCTGGAATGATTTGGTTATGGTGATTGTAGGCTGTAAGCTAGGAAGTTCTATGTTTGGAGAGACTAAATGAATTGGAAAGAAACAATGCCGTCAATGGGGGCTCTTTATATATTCTTCTCCCACGATCGTTACAGGATAGACCAGATTGTCATTTTCATCATTCAGCTTCCACGAGGTCGAACAAAGAAGCGTCATCTACAATGTTGAACACCACGAGGAAAGAGAACGCGATACTACAATCCTCTGTACATTCAACGGAGAAACAATGGCGTCCAATAATGGGGCTCTGAGGACATTCCACATGGGGTTCTGGAAGAAATGATGGTCCCGCCGTTGTGGTATTCAGTGACATTGGAACGATCAACTCGCACCGGCGATCTGAGGCTTTGATGGAATGAGTTTCAAAGATTTTGTGTATCTGTTCAGCTAATTAGACATCGTTGGCAAAACTTGCCAATATATTCATTCCAGGTAATGTGATCGGCGGCCGAGACGATACATCACCTCGTTGAAAGATGTTAACTGGCCATTTGGACCACCTGAGTGATCACTTTCTAGTAGATGTTGAAGAATACTGTTAGGTTGAACTCGAACATGACTGGATTCAAGAAGCTAATGATCGACAAGCTGACGTTGCCAGCCGTCATAATTGATCAAAATTCGTAAAGAAACACTGATGCAATATTCTGAAAAGAACGGTGAGGTTTGACAAGATAATAGTGATAGATCATTCCTCGAATAACCATGCCTCGAGAATTTGAGTAGGTGAGAGGAACTTCAACCGCAAAGAAGTATGTATCGGCTTAGAGTTTTCGGCCATTCCGTACCGACGTCACACTTATGTTGTCGGCCGGCAGCGCTATTACAAGCCGAGATTAACAGACCACGAGAGGTTTCAAGACACAAGAGGAATACGAAAATAATAATTGTACAGGATGACTTCAGATCTCTCGCATGTAAAGCGCATCCCCGAATAAGATTGACGGAGCGAGCTCCGGACGACCCGTCACAACATCACAAATCAAGACGAATAATCGGCTAGTACACCCCCAAAGAACATCGTTTGCTCGTATCACGATGAAATCGATCGAGATTCGCTGTTGAGTGAGAAACCGATAGGGCGAAGGAGGAGTCGGAGGTATCTCCCTAGGCTAATGTCTACCCTACTGCTCAATCCAATAAACAGAATAAGATATACAAATTCCATACGATACGATGCGCAATCGTACAACTTGCGCATAATCTCAATGCCGTGTTAGTCGAGTTGTACGCCTCCATTGCTGATGTTGTTGTTGTCATTCGTTATCACGAGTGCTTGAGGTAACAGAACAATTCTTGCCCTACCAAGAATTAGTGGGGATGAATGGCCTGACGGAGATATCTCCTGTTCATCAAAAGCGTGACTTGACCTGATGGCATTGTTGTCTGTCTCTTGAGTTGGGTAAGATTTACATATGGCAACAAGAAGATATGGTCCATGCGGAACGTACCTGATATGTATGTAAGTAGGTAGGTAGCTATATGAAGTATCTTCCCATCTTGCTCCTTCTCTAGACTGCTTTCCCTTTACTCTGTGACGAAGATTTGTGCTGTGTACTCTGCATATGATCCAGAGTATCCTAATTACCTACCTCCTACCTATCTATCTACCTCGTATATCTAGTACGACCAACCGACCTGGGCAGAAGTAGTGCTCCTAAAAACAAGCCTGGAAAGTTGTTTCTGTATAACTAACTGTATGACATTGTGATGTCACCGATACTTATTTAGTTCTTGCTTTTGTTGTCATAAACTCCATTAAAATATCTTTATCGTTGATGATAAGCCCTCAAAGAAGTCAAAGAAGTCAAAGAAGTCAAAGAAACTAATGGATCAAAAAGAACTATTTCAACTTCGCCTCCTTGCCCTTTCGCCATGTCCGCTTTATAAGCTTACTCATTAATCATTGCTTATCTAATGAGGCTAAAACCCCTTTTGTTACCATATTACATAAAAGAGAACCATGTTCTTTCATTGGATCAGATTCAAAATTGGTATAAATTCATCCATCCTACCTTCGGAGGCGGACATCATCACCGGTGATGTTCAACTTGATCAAATCTCCCATGTTTTTTGATCGGGTTCTTTGATGATTGATCGGAGGCATCTCCACAGAATTCAGATCCCTCTTATGCAACCTTGCAATTTTAAACAAATATGATAGACGAATAGTCAACCCGTTTTTGTGATGCAATTTATACATGGTGGTCGTCGCTGAATCCCGAATACCTTCTCTTTTTTTTTTTTTTTTTTTGACAAAGCAAGAACAAAGTTTATCATTGTTTTGGGAAAGAAAATTCACTGTCGCATATGATCCCATCCTTTGAGTCAATTCTTTCGAGAAAGTAACCCTGAGTACTAGGTACCCGGCGTCTCTAAATGTTCCAACAGGCACCTTGGATAAGAACAGTGGCAGCAATATCGCCAATAATATCAGCATCAAATATAACGTGGTCATCCAGCAACAATTCCATAACCGGCGGCCAAAGAAATTGTTTTACAGGAGCTACATCGCTATGCTCTATCCTCGCTGAGCCGACAAGAAACGAATGCGCCGCAACTCTGAAGGGATACGATAAAACACCTATTAAGAACACATCAAATAATCCGTTGCATCCACGGAACCCTTCCACGACGAAGGAATCAAGTTCCAATGAACCAAGACTCGGCATCTAGTTCCACTCTTGGAGCAGCTCCAGTGCGGAAGGACAGAGGACCGATCGCGAGCCAGGTTGGTGTTTGCCCTTCACCACTTTCCCATACACCCTTTTCAAAGAAACCCCCAATGATGTGATTTGTGAAAACATTGTGTTATAATGTTGCTAAAGTGAACTGACGTTTAACTTCTCAAGGCTTGTGATGTTTGTCGACAACGGAAGCAGAGATGTGACGAGAGCCGTCCAAAGTGCGGTCTTTGTACACGCTTGAAGATAGACTGCAACTATAGGGAGCCCGTACCGACAAAGTAAGTGCTGCAAGGCATGTTTCGGACGATTCAATACTGCGAACGGAATTAGAAATGTTTTAGTCTTCTCATCTGCAATGGACCTGACTGAGAGCATCATAGGAAAGACAAAACCATGGTTGAAATCCTGGATCGAGTGAAAAATATAGAGAGTATACTCGGACAATTCCCTCAACTCTCGACGGGCATCGCAGAGTTCAAGCCAAGTCAGACGCCACTTACTCATTCATCATTGAACGACCCCCCTAGCTTCAAAACCGAGGGACATACGTTCGCAACCTCGTTCTCACACCCAAACGAAATAATTACAGGTCGAATACATGCAAACTCTTTATATCGTCACTATACTGCGTCTCACAAGATTTTGTTATGGCCAGCTATACAGCAACTTCTTCTACAAGTTGCGCCATCAAACAATGGCAACGGCAAACTTCTGGCAAGGGGGTCAGTATTCATGGTTAGCATACAGGCCTCGAGACCTCAATTATCCTTAGATATAGATCTACAAGAGAAACCGTTTGTAGGCATGCAATCATTGGCGAGTAGAGTTGTTGGGGGCTCGCGAACAACATTTCCGGGCTTGTCCCAGGAAGCTATGCTTCAACTGGCGGTGTCTTATTTCGATACGTTCAACTTTCTATACCCTTTCATGGATAGACAAACTTTCCTTTCTGATACATTAGTGAAAGTGGTGTCTGAAGGATTCGATGGAGACATGGAATCCGTTATTGCCTTGCTAATATTCGCGCTTGGAGAAGTAGCGCTTGAAGGATCCTGCGGCTCTCCTGTCGATATCCACCAAGCACGGCCTAGTGGCATCAGAGGCGGGTCGGGGCCATCCAAACCACCAGGACTATCCTTTTTTAATGAAGCGATGAAAAGGATTGGCTGTGTCTTGACAGAATGCAGTCTTGAAAATGTGCAGATGTTTTGCCTGACAGCGTGCGTTTCAATTTCAATTATGAGTTTGTCGAACTCGACTAATTTAATACTTGACGTAGACTATATTACCAATCCTGTTACCGCCATCTGGTAATTATTGGAACCAAAAGCTTGAACGAGTGGCAGTTGATGTAATCGTAGGACTTTTGGAGGACGATGGTTTCTGCTTCATCAGCATGTGATATGCTTATCACGTCGTCAGCACACCGATTCTCCTTCTTCCTTCTCAAAACCTTCTGACCGAACTATAGGGATAGCTTTGACTGGAAATCTCCGAAGGGCGACCTTATCAAACGTGCGTATTGGCATTGTGCCACCATGGAGACGTGAGTGCTTTGATACTTCAAATTCCTTTCATGCTATTGAGAGATAATAGGACTTTACACCTCGACATAGATTTGCCACTTACCTCTATGATGAATCTCGAGACGCACATTGAAATGCCACTTTTCCCCATGCCATCTAGTGAAGATGATTTGAAGGGGGACCAGGAATCCAATTGGCAAGCACATAGTTCTTCAGTACTAGCACTACGAAGAATTTGCGTCCAGATGCAGAATGGAATTTCCGAGAGTAAGCATGCGATTTGCAAAATCTTTTCACTGTTTTGGATAAAACTGATTTCTCAACCAAAGTGGCCAAGATGGACGCCAACTCCTCTTGCTCGGAAGGTTACACCTTCCTAACCGCAGCCGGAGTACGGCAACTCGCATCCCAGCTAACTCAATGGCGCGGCCTACTCCCCACCCCACTCCAATGGGCAGAAGATGAGCCCGCGAGTTTTCCTTTTGTGCAAACGCCTGAACGAGATATCGGGAATATCGATCCCAATTTCACATCACCAATATCACAGAAAAGTCCCCGTCCGGTCCTCTTCTCCACTGACATCGATGAGGAACCGGTCAGGTATCTTTATGCATATGACATACAAGTTGCGACACTTAGAACTAGATACTATTACGCCAAATACATGGTTTATCGACCTTTTGTGTATAAAGTATTGCATTCTCCGGAATTGGTGACGCCAGAGGATGCCCAAAATGTTGTGGAATGTCTACGAGTATGTTATCTCTACTGTCATCTTTCTTCCTTTCCCTTTTACTGTTACCTTTATCTTCGCCTCGCCCCTATTAACAATACGCAATAGTCCTGTCTCCTGTGGCCCATTCTCCTCTCACCCCCATCCCGTTGCAAACGTCTAATACCCTACCTCTTCACCTGGTCTCAAATATTCCTCAGTATCTTAATCATCGTACATCTCTCGAAAGGCAACATGATGCTGAAGGATATTTGTGATAACATGTGTGGAGAGCGATACCATTTAGAGATTGATGAAACTGTGAGGCTAATGTTGGATTGGATTCGGGACTTGAAAGATGCTGAGGATCCAATTGCGCTTTGGTGTTGGAATATGCTGAGAGGCATTTATTGGTAGGTCTTTTATTTACACTTCATCAAACACTCGTCGATGGTGGGTACGTGTGATGGTGGGGAATAAAATTAGGTAAATACGTCTCCAAAGTTTGGGTGTGGCTCGGAGATTACGTATGACGCAGAGAATCACTGTGAATGAAAGGGAAAGGAAAGATGCGGCCGCGTGCTTAGGTATTTATGATGTGGCGGATAAGATCAAGGAAGCCATGCATAAATGTATGATGAGATGGCACAAGGATGTTACGATCATGAAGAACTTGGAAGGACGAACATCGAAACCCAGTAGTTAGAAGAGGCTCGCCAATTAAAGACCCAAAAATTCGGCCAGAATACAAAATGTCTATCGCATTACATGTCTCAACCCCAATATAGCAGCTCACCAGACCGTGCAGCATGTACTGTAACCCGGTAATCACAACTTTGACTCCTTTCTTCGTACGAATGAATCGTCTAGTAAGTAATCAGGGTATCTCTTTGCTCCGGCCATTCCTGCCGGGAGCCTCCCTATTTGGACTCGGTTAGTAGAAATAACTTAGCGAGGGTGAATGAAAGGGTTGGGGGGAACGAAGAATTAGGAAATAATAAAACGTACAATTTCCTCCGTCAATAACCAAAACTTCACCATTGACAAAGCTGCCTGCATCGCTGAACAAGTACACAGTTCCGTCTGCAATTTCCTTTACTGTGCCATATCTCCCCAACGGATTTCTTCTTTGCGCATCCCCGCTTGCTTCGCTCTCCTTATCCCCTAGTCTTGCCATTCCCTCCGTTCCTTCTATGGGTCCTGGAGTAATCACATTACTAGTTATCCCCCGTGGACCGTATTCCAACGCGGCCGTTGCAGAAATAGCGTCGACGCCTGCTTTTGCTGCTGCTGCGTGCCCCTGAAGTGGCATTCCTGTGAAATGGAACGCGGCAGAGATGAAAATTATGCGACCTCCGGTGTTGGGATTAGAAGCTGTGTTTGGATGGTCAGAGGCGGATTTAATGAGGTATGGGAGAGTAGCTTTGAGGGTGTTGAAGGAGCCGAGAGTATCGATTTCAAGGACAGTCCGGAAAGCGTTTGAGGAGAGACCTTCGAGGGGTGAAATAAAATTTCCTGCTGCTCCGGCGCTGTTGGAGTGGTCATGTTAGAGCGTGTCATTGATACAAGTGAAGGAAAGGGAAATGGGTTAAGCAATCATACATAACGAAGTCAATGCCCCCTAATGCCCTCACGCATGTCTCTACCGCACTCTCCAAATTCTTTATGTTTCTCACATCTACACCGCCGATTCCAATGACCTTCGATCCGTAACGTGCAGTCGAAATGGATTTGGCCATAGATTCAGTCTTGGATGGATTGCGTCCGATAATACACGCGTTGGCGCCTAGGTGAACCATTGCACGCACTTGAGCGGAACATATCGAACCTGCTCCGCCAGTGCAGAAGACGACTTTGTTGTCTAGAGAGAACATGATTAGCGTGCGAAAATACAGCAAACTGTGCTGTCTGTTAGAAGTCCATACCGAAGATACCGTTCCGCCAGACGTCGGAGAGATATTCTGATCGAGGTAGAGCCATGTTTGTTTATATCTTGAGGATCAAAGGGGTGTTTGTAATTTTGAGGCGGAATTGATGATATAGAATAGATACTTATACGTCTTTGTTTTTACGATTAGTTCCTAAATACAACAGCTTATTAGGATCAATGGGAAAACCAAGTCACTCGAATTACTGGACTAGAGTAGGACATAAATTACCTACCTGCGTACAAAATCCGGGGTTTCAAGCCTCGGTCCGGCGATTCATTGACAAGTTCCGGGAGCCAAGATGTGATTACATAATATCATAATCGATCCATTGCTCCATTGAAGAGAATGACGGCGGATTTCCCTTAGTTCGGCACTTCTATTTCCGCTAAGCTGATTAAATAAATACCTAGCCATATCAACAACTTAGATCCCAGTTTATATCCATCACCCTATCTTTGCGTATTGAACAATCCTTCAGCGAGAATATATCTGAGAAGGATATTAATCGGTGACAAGATGTCTACAAAGACTGTTTCGACTTTGAAGTTTGTGGGATCGATTTCCCTTGGCCTACTTACTGTAAGTTTCTTGCATCACCCCACTATAGCTTGTCATTCCAGACTTTACAGCTTGTTGTTTCTATTAGTTTATTATCATCTTCTATCCCCTGAATCTATTGTGAACTCATCGGGCTGACAATCATTAAAAAACAGGGCGTTTCCTATACCCTTTCATCTCTCACGATCCCAGCCTTCCTAACCCTCCCATCCGCCACTCTCGCATCTCGTTCCTACAGCTCCCTGACTACTCTCGCCACAACACATACTCGTGCGCTCACATGGATTTCATCCTGGTCTTTCCTTCTCGCCTTTTATTTCTCGCCTCGAGGACAAAGACATCCATATCTCCTCTGGACCTCGCTCTTCGCCGCCTCAAGCTCAATCGTTGATAAACTCATCCCACTTGCCATAGGCTCCACAGGTCCAAGACGCATTGCACAGAAGAAACGATCAAAGAAACCTATGAGTCCTAGACAAATGGATGCAAGTTACGAGGTGTTGAGCAAGAGCGCGAGAGATTATGAAAGTGCGGGGTTGGCAAGTAGTGAGGAGGAAATGGATGATAACGTCAACGGGGAAGAAGTGAGAGAGGAGATGGAGGGATTCATGGCCAGCCAAGTTGTCAGGACTGTGGTTGCCGGTTTGGGCTTTGCGATGAGTGTTGTGGGTATTTGGGGAGACGGAGGGTTCACTGAGGTCGTTTTTGTGGATGTTGTGTAAGTAAGGATGAAATGGGTTGAGGTTACGGCTGTGAGGCACGCGATATGAGAGATATAACGAAGCATATGACATTGACGAAAGACGAGAGGCGTAACATGGATGCGAGTTCTGGGCTAGCCTTGAACCTTGTATGGTGGGATTGGTCGAGAGGTTCATAGGCGCGATTGGGTGGCAAACGATGTACTCCTATTCTTTCATTATGTACGGATGTTGAAACCTCTCATTGACTATAAAACTTGCTCCCATCTCAATGTTCGGAGTTTGGGCTTCTCTATCTGATAATCCGATAACGGTCAAAGAATTCCGGGTGCAAAGGATTGGACGCTGTCTGCCGTTCAGTATACTACAAACATTCATGGAAACTTGATATTTAAGGCAAAGATTTTAAAATTTACTTTGTTACGCTACTACTGTTTTTCACCCACTCCATCTCTATATGAACTGTCTGTGGAACTTCCATTAGCAAGTCGTTTCAATATCCATCTCTACGATGCAAGTAATACATTTACACAGAATTTGAACTTCGGTAATCATCCGAGTGTGTGAAGAAATGTATGTGAATACATCCATAATTCCACCTCTTCTAGTTTCTTTATACTTAAGACCTTGATCCTTTCTTATAAAGAACCGATGGAGGCGTGTATGATAGTGGTGCCTCCATGGTGTGCTCAATGTCGAAAGTATTACGTGGGAGGTCGCTCTAGGTCGCTTATGATATCTTTCTCGTAGTGTACGTATGTATGAATTAAATATTATAATTTGTATTCCTCTGACCGTAAGGTTTAGCAGCGGTAAATTGCCAAGCACAGATAGGAGTCCTGATACTTTTGCAGTGCAGTTTGACACCCGATGCTTTCAGATGTGCAACGTGACTGAAAGGTTCGATCAGTTTGAAATACTGAATCCATTTCGAGTGTTTTTTTGCTTTTAGATATCGAAATTCATATCGAGTCATTCTAATAGTTCGGACTACAAGACACTATGAGTGTAGGGGTATATTGGTATATGGGTTTGATTACAAAGTGTAAAGAGCAGAGACGGATCGAGGTAAAATAGGGAGGGCGTCTGTTAATCGGCGAGTTTATTTTGGTATGAGCTTTTAGGGGATGAACGAATGATCAAAGAGATGCTAATGCCGAATGCATGGGATTTGATAGAGTATGCGAATGATGAATAGGTCGAGTGGTGGCTTGAACTTTGATGAGTTCGTTTCGCCTAATCCACAACTAAGAATAGAAAGTGTGGGTGGCAAAAAGAGGATTGAAGTCCTGTTTCTTGAAAATGACTAGGATAGGGATCATTCTGTTCTTTAGAAAATGTTTTTGATGAAAGTTATGAGAAGAGTACGTTTTAGGATACTTACGACTGAACACTTGTGCGTGGATATTGCTTCATGTGCAGAATGATGTCAATAGAATTGCAAAAACTGTCTCCGTGATGTACGGAACAACGAGCCCAATTTTGTTTCCATGAATGAAGATATGTACTTAATCAAGACTGAATAATAACCTATGAACAAGAACCTGACTCACAATCACAATCTTCAGACTAGATGTAACTCTCATCGCTCCCGAATGCAGGTTCGGCCCAGCACAACCCTCAATACCGTATCCGAATTGACCATTTCGCAACACAATAAACCAATCGGTGTAAATATGAGCATGCACACTCGATCAAAACCGCAAATTCACGTCAGAGAGGCCTCTAACACCAGCTTCTCATCCACTTGTATTGTATCGTTTGGGCTGTATATGGATCCTCGGTTGCACCCATATCGTAAGGACCAAATGTCTTATAAGGTGTCTTATACTCAATCAGCTTTGACTGAGCATTTGGTCCAGTCTTGATGAATATAGTTGCGCTGTAGCCATCATCGCAGCCTGTGAGAGTAAGATTCATCCCTGTAGTTTCATCAGGCACGACGTCGGAGGGAACCCATTGATTATAGCATCGAGGCCAGGAATTATCCATGACGATACCTTGCCAGCCTTCGATCAACCATTCGGAAACTACTGTAAGACAAGCATTGGTGGGAAAGACAAGAAGTGGGAGAACTGTGAGGGATGGTGTTTGGAATTTCATGTTGAGAAGGATGGAGTAAGTTTGTGCGGTTGTTGATGCAGAAGAGAGGCTTTTGTGACGGTAGTCTGACGAGCAATGACCTCAAAGTGAGTAGAAGAAGAGATCAGAATCCAATGAATGTGAGTTGATTTTCATCCGCATACATGTTGTGGAACAATGCCCGATTTATATCTTCATTGCAGTACACTTGAACGAGCTTGGCGAACAGGAAGGAAACTCCCCTGATGGCCCGATATGTGACCAACTTATTTTATATAGACTAACACTTGACATTTCCTCATAATTGCCAGACTCATTCCTTTGCACTCTGTTATTGGCATTTAATTCATGTTCAGAAGGAATTTAGATTGGGATAATGGGTCATGTCTGGCGGTAAATGATCCTTCGCGCAAATACTCATACGATATAATATCCAGAAATGGGGTTAAAGTAAGGTTAATTCCAGTTGAATGGAAAGAGAATAATCTTCTATGGACGCTCAACCGAAGAATCATCAAAATGTATTACTCATGGCTGGGATTTTGACAGCCGCTTTTATATTTAGATTGATTGAAAGATACAGTGCTGTGCTGTGCTATGCGACAGAGCCAACTAGACGCCTTGGACCACTGTAAATTGCTATAATTCCAGGGTACGATCTACACTTTCCATTCGACTTCGAATGGTGAAGCATTGCTTTTTGAGCCCTAGAATTATAATCCTAGAATTACAATCATTCATTCCATGTAGCTCGATGGTCAACGTTCGGATGTCTACGGATTGTGTATTTGCTTGAACAATGCCGAAAAGCATGCAATGAATTTGCACTAGGAAACGCGCAAAATATGATATTGCCTCGTCCACACCAGATTACCTAAGTACCTAGTCAACAAGAGATTGGTAAGCTGGTTCCGATGGAGTAAGGTAGGTCTTCAAATCATGGTATTCATGATGAGTTCGGTAGCTTCGTTCGGCTTCATATATATTTGGTCGAAATTGTGGCAATGTGAAGAATTTGTCGAGATGTGACACCAATAACAAGATATAAAAACCGTTATAATCATCAGTTGACTTGCCTTTCGAGGGTATTGATCGTCGAAATTGATGCACAGCCGGTGTAAGACTATCGAGGAATCAATGGGCTAATCTTTCTGCCGCGATATCGCCTCATCTGCTACAGTATCATTAGAATAGCGTGCCAAGTGAGATAAATTGAGCAGGTTCGGTTTCTCGTACTACAAGAGAACCTGTAGTCCCATCTTAAAGGTGTAAAGAATGGAAGTCTTGGCGATGCGAAAGTCTCCATCGAGAAAAAATCGATATAATGAGGTCAATTCGATGTCACTAGTCAGTTGTGATACGACGAACTTACAGAACACGAGGGGCTGCCGAGAGTGCTCAAACCCGTTGTATTCCGTGGCGCGTCGACTCGACATGAATATATATGAAGAAGAAAGCCATATTTACGTACCTCAAATGATCATCCATATTGAGAGTCGACTTCGTAAAGAATCTCGAGCATCCATATGGGTATGAATTTTTGCTCATGGAAATGTTTTTGCATCTGACTGCTTGTAGATGTTTGAGCTCGACAAACACACACCCACTGTAACCTCGCCATCGACCCTCTAATACGGACACGAGTAGCGAGTATCTAGTTACTCAATTAGGTGTTTACTGACTACCAAATTAGACACATCGTGCGTATGCGTACCTAGGTATCGTATGTATCTTCTTCTTCTTCTTCTTCTTCTTCTTCTTCTTCTTCTTCTTCTTCTTCTTCTTCTTCTTCTTTCTTTCTCTTCAACTCTCCCTTTACTTCTGTTCGTTTGTCCCTTTTCCCTATATCTATTACTTACATTGATACTTCGCCATTCTGGTCACTATTACATGGCATGGCTATTGTGGTTGTATGCTAGTGATCATCTTTTGCCTGTTCAGAACCACTTCGGTCTTTGGCTGTCTTCAATTCGGCTTTCAATACATTATTCCATCAATGATCTTCCGCTTCTCCAGCTCCAAATCTTCTTAGGTACTGGTATGGTGTGGGATACGACCGGGGGAAGTTTCTCTGTCAATCTCCGATCTTATCATGATTCTCTTGGCATTCTGCATGCGCATACTTTTGCAGCTTTCGACACATCAAAGGGTCCTTGGGGTACACAAACTACTACCGATCACTGTTACTTGGCGAGTGCCGCACCATTCTTCCATATTCTGGATAAAGGGCATTTGCAGTTATCTTCTTATCTTGTCGGGTATGCAGTATTCACTACGTCCTTTGAAGCATCTGTAGATTCGTCACCAAGAATTGAGCTGTATCTAAGGTTATGGGTATTTCGCAGGCCAGCTCCTCGTTGCCGTTTGACCTTGCAGATTCCCTCCAAATTCGGCTCACAGATGCTAAATTTCCCCCTTCAATCCTTTCCGCATCTTTATGTGCCTGTCTCCAAAGAATTCAACCTTGCTTTTCACCATCGCATCTTACTCCCCTCACATCTGCATCGTGCATGGAAAGCGACTCGACCTTAAACCCTGAAATATGGGTCGCGACAACTTTACTTTCTTTGGGCACGGTCGCAGAAACTATCCATCTTCTCAATACATGGGTTATGTGATATGGCGTGTCATACGGACATTTTTGTCCAAAACAATTTATTTATCTGATTTACTATAATTCGATCTTAAAAACTATCATTTGATATTTAAAATGATTATATAATATTCTATTATTATCTATTAAAAACATTATACTATTATCTAATCTATTAGAAGATTGAGTGGAAGAGGCCTCTATATTGACTATATAGTTATGTGTGTAAGCATATTGATCTCCCCGTAGTATTATATGAGGGGATCAATATGCCTGTCTATAGTTTGTCTAATCTAGCCCGTTTAGGTAGCTGTATTACTAATCACTACACATACTTAGCATTAATAACTTCTATTCCTTTTAAACACTCCTCTATAGAAATTACCACCTTTAATCTCCTTGATCTTCTATATCTCTACTATCTCAATCCCAATATGTTTTTGAATCTTTCGAATACTATTCTTGCTAAGGGTTTAATTATTCTATCTATTATTATATTTGATGTATTGATATAACTAGTTATTACCTTTTCTTTTTTAATAAGATTTTTGATGAAATGATAATATATATTAATATACTTTGATTATTTATATAAATATGGATTTTTGATTAAAGTAATTGCTTTTTAATTATTATCTAATAATTAAACAATATCTCTATATACAGATATATATTCAGCCTTTCCAAAATCTTTGAATACTTAAACTAACCATCTCTCTTGCTTAATGAAAGAAGAGATCAAGGCGCAGGCAGGAGAGGAACCAATGCAATTACAGAGTCTCTAAGTACGGAGTGAACCCTTTCACAGGGAGGGCCAACTGGATTATTAGTTTCAAGAAGACAGTAAAACCATT